ACAATACCAAGGAGAGTGAAGTGAAAAAACATAAAACCACATGCCTTTCCCAGTGCTCTCAGAACCTTACCCACAATCACAGCCAAGAATTCCAAGGCAGAAAGTATTTTTAATCCTAATGGAATTTTGTTCCTAAATATTATTCCAGAAAAGATTGTACATGCACATATACAACCCCAGAAGAAGGAACTCACCTTTTTCTGCTCATCTCTAAGAAACACTATGTACCTTGGAAAAGGTCTGCGAGAAAATGGAGGCTCCATCCTCTGTAGGGACAGGAGAAGCAGTTTCAAAAAGGGAAATGGAGGCTGTCCCTGAAGAAACCCAGTCAGTAGCCCTGAAGGTGCATCTCTACCAAAAAGGAAGCCAGCTAGAAAAGAAGCCTGCCCTGCACCATATGCACCCGAGCTCTACCCCGCTCCCCTGAATTTCTCTGACTCTCTTTGCTCCTGGTGTAGGACTCCCCAGTATCAGCATACTCCCTTGTCCTGCCCTTCCCGGAGAAAAGGGGCGTGGGTCAAGGGCTGGGGCAGTGACTGACTGGAGAGCGGGGTGGCCTGCGGGGGTGTCTCTTGGCCCGGTGCTTCCGAGGGTTATACTTAGCCAGCTGGTACTCGTCAAACTGGGCAAATTTGTCCGTCATAGCAGCACGGAGACAGGCGGGCAGGGGCACCAGCTTATTCTCATCTCCCTCAGCCAGGCTCTGTCAAAGAGAGAGGAGACCATTAGAAGCAAGACCCAAATCAACTCTCCAAAACAAAACGAGGCCACTTCATGGAGATATATGAGAGCACAGAAAAGCGAGCAACTTCCCAGCCCTAGCTCCAAAATCACAATTTCTGTGGTACTGATTTTCATTTCTTCATTAGAAACATGAGGTCCAGGCTGGGCGGGGTGGCTCGCCTTTACACCTGTAATCCCAGCACTTAGGGAGGCCAAGGCCAGTGGATCACCTGAGGTCAGGAGTTCAAGATCAGCCTGGCCATGATGGTGAAACCCCATCTCTACTAATAACACAAAACCTAGCCAGGCGTGGTAGTGCACACCTGTAATCCCAGCTACTCGGGACGCTAGGCAGGAGAATCACTTGAACCCGGGAGACGGAGGTTGCAGTGAGCCAAGATCACACCATTGTACTCCAGCCTGGGCAACAAGAGTGAAACTCCAAAAAAAAAAAAAAAAAAAAGCATGAGGTCCAAAATAAGACCATTTTTTTCCTCAAACTTTGATCCAGTCCTTCTCAATCATCTTCTCCATGTTGGGCAACCCAGCCTAGTAGAGGGAGAAGCTGTCCTGTCTGGGCACCAATGCTGAGGAAAGCTGAGGGGAAGCCAAACTGCCTGAGAATTTTCTCCAAGGATGCAGTGAGCATAAGAGAAGGAACCAAGGGAAGGCCCAAGCTCAGGGAAATGAGCACCATACCTGGTAAAGCTCAGCCACCTGGATCCAGTCAGAAGGCAGCTGGACAATGGCACAGAAATATCGTCGCAGGTGGGGGCGGCACGCCGGTAAGAAGGCAGCAATGGCCAAGATTTTATTGGCCACATTCCGGACGTTCAGCTGCTGCCTGGCATACAAAGATGCCTAGGACACAACGTAAGAGGACTAGAATCTCAGCCACTCCTCCCGTAGCTTTCTGCCCTGAACTTACTTGCTGATTGAGTGTGCCTGTAGAAAACCTTTCCTGAGCCCTCCACATTGTCCACAAAATACGAAGCCCAGGCTGCCTGACTTGGCATTCTAAGTCCTCCATATTCTATCCCTTACCCACCTTTCCAGCATGTCTTCTTCTGAGTCTACTGACTGCCTTGCAAGTCAACCAGGCCTTTTCCTTCTTTGGAAGACCTCCTGCATCAATATCTACCAAAAAGTTATCCAGGGTTCAAATCATTCATTAAACCTGCCATTTTCCAAAGCATCATAGAAGATATTTCCCACCCCGCTCTTCTCTGCTTCAGAAATGTTCACTATGTAATATTCCAGCTGTATGTGTATGATATTTGGAAAAGTATTTTGCTTCCCTAACAATACTATAAGCTCCTTGAGAGAATGGACACTTACTAACAAACCAAGCCTAGTATACTCTTTCCCCACTCTTCACTGAACCACAGGGACTAGGCCTCAGACTCACCCAGAAATTCTTCCTCAGAGAAGCTCCTCCCATCCTCAGCATGAGGCTAGTCACCATCCCTCCACACACTGTAACCACACCCCCTGTCTGCTAGCTTTACACCCCCATCCCCTCCTTCACACCGCAATACCTTGAGGATAAACTCAGGCTCCAGGGACGCAAGTTCACGACAGTTTTCAAAAATGGCAGCCAGGGTGGGGTCAAACGCATCTTTCATGTTTACTTCTGAGACCAGAGTAGAGCACAGCAAGCTCAATAGAGCCATCTTGGAATTGAGAAAGAGAGGGAAGAAATGAGAAGAGAGGTAATAAGGACCAACTTAAGCATCCATGCAGACTAACTTACAAAATCAAGGACAGAGAGAATGGACCTGAGATGTGGAGTCCAATTGAGAACTTAGAAAAGGGGACTAGGACCAGGCATGGTGGCTCACGTCTGTAATCCCAGCACTCTGGGAGACCGAGGCGGGCAGATCACCTGAGGTCAGGAGCTCGAGAGCAGCCTGGCCAACATGGCGAAACCCCATCTCTACTGAAGACCCAAAAATTAGCCAGGCACGGTGGCGCATGCCTGTAATTCCAGCTACCCTGGAGGCTGAGGCAGGAGAATAACTTGAAGCCAGGAGGCAGAGGTTGCAATGAGCTGAGATCGTGCCATTGCACTCCAGCCTAGGCGACACAGCGAGACTCCATCTCAAAAAGGAAAGAAGGAGAGAGAGAGAGAAAGAAAGAGGGAGAGGGAGAGGGAGAGAGAGAGACAGACAGAGAGAGAGAGAGAGAGGGAGAAAGGGGAAGGGGAAGGGGAAGGGGAAGGGGAAGGGAAGGAAAAGGAAAGGAAAGGAAAAAAGAAAAGAAAGAAAAGGGCATTAGGAAGTGAGAAATAAGAGCTGGGTTGTATCCCTACCTTCCCCTTCCAACTGGGGAGGGGACCTGGTTCAAGTACTCCACCCCCAACCTCCCCTCCACACCATTAACCTTTCCCCAACTCTTGAACTTTTACCTTCTTTTCCTGAAGGACCTGGTCAGTAGGCTCTGGATGAGATTCAGAGTCTCCAGAGGTGAGCTTCACGGCCAGATCCTCCACCTCCTCCTCCTCCTCTCCCAAGCTCAGACTGTAAGAAGGCATTTGGGTCTCAGCCCCTTTCTTCTCCTCTGAATCAAACCAACGACCCTGGGGATAGTAGTGGCAGTTATGAATCACAGCATGTATCCACAGACCCTCAAACCCAGATGGATCTGAAGGCAGCACCAGGACATGGGAAAAGTCTAAATCTCCATTAATAGCACCTCTAATCTCCTCTCCCTCTCCCTTCACACGCCAGCACTGATGTGTCCTGACTTACTGCTCTCACACACCACCTTGCTCTACTCAACCTTCAGAGCCTTCGCCCACATGCTTCATAATCTGCCCCTGCTTTCATCTCTTCATTGATGTCACAATCTGGGAGCATGGGGCTCTTCACACACCTTTTAGGATATTAGTAAGATGTTTTGGGGGTCAGAAGAAAAAGGGCAAAGCCCTATATTAATCCTCCAGCAGTCTTGGGCTGCTTAGCCTCTCTGAACCTCAGCTTTCTCTCATTCACTACCACCTATCTGATAGGGCCTCTGGGAAATTAAATGGAGCGATATATGTATGTGTGACTCTGCAAAATGCAAAGCCCTAAATGAATGTTAAGATGGCAGTAGTTGTAATCCTGATAACCCTGTGAAGTAGATTTTCATTAAATTCATTTTAAAGGTGAGGAAATTAAAGCTCTAAAGGGTTAAGAGGTTGCCCAAGATTACACAGTTTGTAACTGGCAGAGACAGAAAAAGTTCAGATTAGCCTTGTCCCTCAACCCGAAACACAAGTATATACAGAAGCAATGTGTGTCTATCTAGTGATTCTGAATTGTATACTAAATGTAGGCATGTAGATGTGTAAAAGTGGATATGTGTTTGCACATGCACACACAATTAAGTGGTCTCTGGTATAGGCCCTGATAGGGCTGTTGGAAAATTAATTAGTAGATGTATCTCATGCCTGATCTCAAAAGCACCTAACTGACTCTGCTATAGTGACATTACACTGGCTCTCCCGAGCAGAGGCTTCCTAAGGACAGGGACTGTTTTCTGTTATGGTCTTTTGGACTTTCATCTTTTTGAGACAGTCTCGCTCTGTTGCCCAGGCTGGAGTGCAGTGATGCGATCTCGCCTCCCGGGTTTAAGCAATTTTCATGCCTCAGTCTCCCAAGTAGCTGGGATTACAGGTGCACACCACCACACCCAACTAATTTTTGTATTTTTGGTAGAGATGGGGTTTCACCATGTTGCCCAGGCTGGTCTCGAACTCCTGGACTCCACCTGCCTTGGCCTCCCAAAGTGCTGGGATTACAGGCATGAGCCACTGCGCCCAGCCAGGACAGGAATTGTTTTTGATCTATTGCACAAAATCTCCAAAGTAGATATGCAATAAAAGTAATGATGCCAGTGAAGATGGTCCTGCAACAAAGGGTATCTTAGGAGAGGCTCTGAGGAGAGAAGATAGCCAGACACAGAGCAGCACAGAGGGAAACTGAGACACTGAAAGCTAGAGACAAGAGAGCACAACAGACATGGCTGGAGTCAAGATGCGTGCCTGGAGCTATTACCAAAGTTGCTTCCTGAACTGTTCCTGTGGCAGAGAGAGATTTCAGGGCTATAGGGCAGGTTGAAAGGTCTAGTCCCTTAGAGAAATGCTGAGCCCTCCAACTTGGAGGCTCAGAGAGCAGGCAATTGCTGTTGTTCACACAGTACAAATCAGCTTGCATCATGTGAGATATTTGTAGACTCTGGAACAAGCGGCTGGCAGACACAGTGCTCTTTAGACTAGGGACGGTGGCCAGGCACCGGTTCTCCAAGGAGAGGATGTCTGGGTGGGCAGAAACATGTCCATGTGGTTTCTCCATGGTCTTCAGGTCAGAAAGCGTGGCCAGGCACCGGTTCTCCAAAGAGAGGATGTCTGGGTGGGCAGACACATGCCCATGTGGTTTTTCTACGGTCTTCAGGTCAGGAAGCGTGGCTAGGCACTGGTTCTTCAAGGAGAGGATATCTGAGTGGGCGGATATATGCTGATGTAGTTTCTCCATGGGCTGTAAGTCAGGGAGCATAGCCAGGCACCGGTTCTCCAAGGAGAGGATGTCTGGATGGGCAGACACATGCCCATGGGGTTTTTCCATGGCTGAAACTCAGTTTGTATATGCCTAGAAGGAGAGAAAGACAGGAGATGAGCACCTGGCTGCACTGAGCATGTATTTGTAGGAGAGCATATCTTCGCCACAGCCCTCCCGATAATGCCAGTGATTTGCAAGTGGAAAACAACAAATGTTGTTTTTCCCAGGAGTGGGTTCATCCAGAGAATATTCTAAGAGAGAAGGATAGGGAAAAGGTAAGGCAGAGGCTTAAGAGCAGAGAAATTAAGAAAAGGCCGGTGCAGTGGCTCATGCCTATAATCCCAACACTTTGGGAGCTAAGCCAAGAGGATTGCTTGAGTCCAGGAGTTCGAGGCAAGCCTGGGCAACACAGTGAAACCCCATCTCTACAAAGTTTTAAAAAATAAAATATATTTCTTAAAAAAGAAACAAAAAGGAATGACTGGAGAAGAAGGGACATGCCTTCTCATAAGAAGATAAAGGAGACTCCACCCCCTCCCCGCGACCCCCGCTACAGGACTATCAGTTTAATCCCTACTTAGTAGAGGGGCCTCACAATATAATCTGGACTGTGGGTTCTTAGCTCCAGAGAAACGGGTACTTTCATCAAGTTGCCAATACTTACCACCTCAGCTTCCTTGCCTCCTATTCACTCTTCAACCAACTAAATGGGATTCTGTCCCCACCAGTCCACAAGTCCTCTTAGGTAACCAAGGAACTTTTTGTTACTCCCATAAATAAATACATCTTAGCCCTTATCTCATTTCACCCCTCAAGTAGAATATGACATTGTTGATTACTCTCTCGTTAAAACTCTCTCTTCCTTTGTTTTCCATGATGCTACTGTCCTGATTTTCTTCTTAAAACTATTCTGGCTAGATCTTCTTGGGGATTCTTTCTCTGCCATTTCTTAACATCGATGCTCCAAAGAGTTCTATTCTAATCCTTTTACATACTTTCCTGGGGTAGTCTCACCCACTAAGTGGCTCCAAATAACATTTCTATGCTGGCGACTCACAGATCTATTCCTGGACCTAGGTCTCCCTCCTGAGCTTCATATTCTTTTATCCATTTGCCTTTTGGGCATCCCCTCTGGATGATTCAAAGGTGCTCCAGATTCCACAGATCTTAAGTGCATCATCTTTCTCCTTCTCTTATCTCTGCCCCAAATCCATTCCCCTTCCTTTGCCCCCTCTGCCTACTGGAGTTTGAAGTGAGACAGACTTTAGTTTGAATCCTCCTTTACCTTGGGATCTTGGTTGGGTAAGATACTTAAATTCTCTGTATCTCTAGAGTTTTCACATTTATAAAATTAAGAAAAATGCTTACCTCACAGAGTTGTTATAGAAATAAATGAGAAAAAAATATTAGGCACTTTGAGCATTGCCTGGCACTAAGTGTTCAACATAGAAGTTATTATTATTTGTTATTATTATCCAGTAAACTACCAAATCCTATTGATTCCACTCCCTCAGTGTCTCTCAAATCTATCCAATTCTCTCCATTCCTCCTACCACCACCTTTGTTGAAACCCTCTAATCCATGTGGTGACACACTGTATATAGATATGTCTAAAGGACCTCCCTGCTAGAGCCAGATGTGGTAGCCTATAACCCCAGCAAATCTCGAAGTCTGAGACAGGAGGATCACTTGAGCCCAGGAGTTTAAAACCAGGCTGAGCTACGTAGTGAGACTCCAATTTTTTTTTTTTTTGAGACAGAGTCTTGCTCTGTCACCCAGGCTGGAGTGCAATGGCACGATCTTGGCTCACTGTAACCTCCGCCTCCTGGGTTCAAGCCATTCTCCTACCTCAGACTCCCAAGTAGCTGGGATTACAGGTGCCCGCCACCACGCCCAGCTGTTTTTTTTTGTTTTGTTTTGTTTTTTTGTTTTTTTAGTAGAGACAGGGTTTCACTATGTTGGCCAGGCTGGTCTCGAACTCCTGACCTTGTGACCTGCCCACCTCGGCCTCCCAAAGTGCTGGGATTACAGGCATGAGCCACTGCACCTGGCCAACTCCTTTTTTTTTTTTTTTTTTTAAAAAGCATGTTTGCTTCTTAGTAGCCCACTTGCTAATTGTTTCTCCTTTGCTTTTGTTTTTTTGTTTTTTTGTTTTTTGAGACGGATTCTCGCTCTGTTGCCAGGCTGGAGTGCAGTGGCGCAGTCTCGGCTCACTGCAACCTCGACTTCCCGGGTTCAAGCAATTCTCCTGCCTCAGCCTCCCAAGTAGCTGGGATTACAGGTATGGGCCACCATGCCCAGCTAATTTTTGTATTTGTAGTAGAGACGGGGTTTCACCATGTTGGTCAGGATGGTCTCGATCTCCTGACCTCATGATCTATTCACCTCGGCCTCCCAAAGTGCTGGGATTACAGACGTGAGCCACCGTACCCAGCCCAATTGTTTCTCTTTACTGAAATAAAACTCCTTAAGGTAAGGGCTCCTTTGTCTCGCTCCCCTCTGCATCCTCAGCATCACACACAAAACCCAACTTCTGCTCACCTCTCAGCATCATCTCTCACTAACACCCCAATCTAACTCTCAGCACTCTAAGCTTCAATCATACAAATTTTATTTAGCTTATTAATTGCCAAGATATCTCTTGACTCTGGGCCTTTGCACAGGCAGATCCCTGCAACACTCTTTCTTCTACCAACACCACCCCTCCTTTACAAGGCCAAATGCTACTTTCCTCTCACTCTACAGGCTTCAGTTTCATCATCAATTCCTCCAAAAAGCCTGTGCTGACACCAAGCCCCAGTCTGGTTTAGGTGGCCTTCTCCTTGTTTTCACAATACCCATACTTCCCCTATCATACAGCACATCACCTGTTTGTCTTTCTTCCCAATAGACCATTAAGTTCCTAAGGAGAGAGACCCTTTTAGCCTTGTTAACCGTTGTTCCCACAATTGCTAGTCAGTGGGATTCAGAGGCTTTTGAGAATCTGGTGAAAGCTATGGAGCTTTTTCACAGAAAAAATAAGAGTATATACTGTTTTGTGCTCAATTTTCAGAGTGTCTATGAAGCCCATTTATGGACCTCCCAGGATCTCCATAAACTGCAAATTAGAAACCTCTGCCTAACAGAATGCTTGAATTATACCATCAGGAACCTATTTTCTGGCCGGGTGTGGTGGCTCACACCTATAATCCTAGCACTTTGGAAGGCTAAGGTGGGAGGATCACCTGAGGTCAGGAGTTCAGGACCAGCCTGGGCAACATAGTGAGACCTCTATTTCAAAAAAAAAAAAGGAATGTATTTTCTTATTTATTTGGACAAAGGCTAATCTCTCATTCATACGTAAACATTTTGGGAATAATATTGTTAAGTCAACCACTTAAACTTAGTGTGAAAAAGCTTAGGGACAGGAGTATAGAACACTTCCAAGAAGACCTGAATGACTAACAATCCAGGGCCAAAAAGGACAACAATATCTCACTGGACGTCAATGTGACAAACACATACAAAATGATGGTTTCTATGCCCTGTACATTTTGCTCATGTCGTTGCCCTACATGAGCCCCCAAGGAAAGGAGTGGGGAATCTCAGAATTGACTCAGATTTTTTTTAAAGAGCTCTCAAACCAAAAATAACAGAAAAATAAGGACAGTTTATTTGAGCAACACAGTGAGACTGTCCTATCCTAAAAAGGACAGTCTCACT